ACACAAAGTATATGCAAATGCATTCAAAGTGTATGCAAATATACACAAAGTATATGGAACTGTATACAAAGTATAGAAAACTTATATGCAAAGTATGTATAGGTAAGTGTGTATAAAAATTAATTTTTATTACTGGCCAGCTGCCGAAAGAAAAAAAAAATTTTTTTTAAAAAGGAGAGAGAACTCCCAAAATTCCTTTAATCTCATCTCATTTCATTATTTTTATTATTTTATTTTACTTTTTTTTTTTNCCGAACCCGGGGCCTTGGTGTTATCAACACCACACTCTCCCAAGTGAGCCATGGGCCGGCCTTTATTTTACTTTTAATTTAATTTTGCAGGTATCCTTTACAGTTGCATTCTGTATAGACCAAAAGGGGACCTCAGGGGAAAAGTAAAGAAATGCCGTCCTCTAGGATCTGGGTACATCCTTGGTCAGCCCAAACTCACCGACCACATTGAATCCTACTTCTCAACTGACGAGGGGCAAATGAGGGCCACGGAGAAACCAGGGGTGTTATTCTACTTGCGTTTGTCCCCTCTAGAATAAAACACCAGAACGAGGCAGGGAGAGTCTTTTCCCGCCCCGTCTACCATCAGCCTCCTTATTCAGTGTTATGGGCTGAATTGTGCCCACCCCTTCAGATTCATATGTGGAGGTCCTAACTCCCGGTGCTTCAAAAGGTGACTGTATTTGGATATAGGCTCTTTCAGGAGGTAATTAAGTTAAAGTGAGGTCACATGGGTGGGCCTTAATCCAATATGATGGTGTCTTTATAAGAAGAGATCAGGACATAGACACACACAGAGGGGAGACCACGTGAGGACCCAGGGAGCAGATGGACATCTGCAAAACACAGAGAGAGGCCTCAGGAGAAACCAACCCTGCCGACACCTTGATCTTGGACTTCTAGCTTACAGAATCACAAGAAAATAAATCTTTCTTATTTAAGCCACCCAATTGGTGGTACTTTGTGACGGCAACCCTAGAAAACTAATACACTCAGTAAGCTAGCTGTTAGTTGGGGTTTTTTTT